TTTTAAGGCCCTGTACTGTGGGATTCAATTTTGAAACTTTGTCATTTTTTCTATCTCTAGACAAAAATTTAAAACAAGTGGGGGAGATCAGTTTTTGAAATTCTGCACTTTTAAGCCAAAAACTGGCTGTGGAAAATGGTCAGTTCTGACCCTATGAAAATTTGAGGAAGATAAATTCTGAGGCCCCATTTGGCAGCAATATAATTTGAGCAATATATTTCTATTTTTGCATGACATCCTGTGTGACATCCGATTAGGTCCACCAAAACCTCTTCAGATTCCACAAGAATTTGCAATATATTGCTGCCAAACGGAGCCTGAGAAATTTCACTTTCAATAAGTTCCATGCCCAGCTATGATACAGGCCCTAAATTTGAATGCATATAATCATAAACATCAACGGGGTTCAAAATTAACTAAATATCTTTTTACTCATTGGCATAATCCTGCATAATCTTCAATTTTGGCTGGGACCTGTCAATTTGAGTTTTAAGTATGCTGACAGGTCCCAGCCAAAATATTACATTATGCAGATAAGTAAAATTGATGAGGAACTTCACAGATCCTTTTACTTAATCTGTATTCTTCCCTGATAGTTAATTTTTATTTCATTTATGGGGGTCAAAGGGGTTCAAAGTTGATATTTATATACTCAACAGAACTACACAAACAAAATTTTGAACTGAATGGTAACAAAATGTTGGCTGAAGATATGGGAAGGGGCGATTTGATGTACGTTTTGATACCATTCAACTCAATTATAAGTGAGGCATTTACAGCTAACACAGGAAAGCTTGCGGGTTCGCGAGCTGGAAAATTACGACCCAAAAAAATTACGACCTCATGCAGGGTCCTGTACATCTTCCAAAGCTTCTGATTATTCGGACGTACAGCCAGGCCAGTGGCACCGATTGGACCCAACCGGCCCCTGTGGGGGGAAGCTCTGCCACAGAAGGGCCTCGGGATGGAGGGAGATAGCCCTGAACTTTTCATCAGGATTCTGATGGTGTTACTCTCATCACCTGAAAGTGAGTGACAAAAAAGATAGCCGATTTGATTGGAGGTGATCCATACGTACATGTCCCTGTATTCTTCTAAACCTTCCAGCTGTTGTCAGTAGATTTTTATTTTTTATTTTTTATTTCTGACATCGGAGCCCGCAAGCTTTCCTGTGTTAGCTGTATCACTTTGGCTACTTTACAAAAATGGTCATTGCAAAGGGGAAAAGTACATAGCAAAAACGTGCAGATTTGAGTCCCTTTGTCTCAAAATAAGCTGAGGTCTCTTCGGGATACGGGTATTGTTGGCACTCTGCCTCGGGGCTTTTCGGGGTGGTCTCCATAGCCCACAGCAAGATACATAGTAATCCTGTGTGGGGTTTGGGGTGGACATCAATATACGACATGTGAGTAGTCCTTATCTTCTTTCCATCATCATCGAACAACTTGCTGACGGTGTGTCGTTTGCATCTCCCTCCACTCTGATTGCTGCCCCCTTCGGATTTCAAGCTGCCACTTCGGACATCCATCATTATCCTGACAATTGCCTGACATTCGAATGAACGGTTATCATCTCATCATCACTCTCCTGGACAGAACACATCCCAATTCGTCACGCCAAATCTTGCGCGGATCAGTCGCGACTCGTTCTGCTGGCCGGACGCCACACCCAACGCCTACCGGCTTACCGGGTGAACTGGACTTCCGGATCGCCGATACACCGAGTTACTTTCCTAGTGAGCCTGCTGGTATTTGGTCCGATCTCAGCCAAGCCCCAACCACGCGACTGGGCGAGAGGTGGGACAAACTCGAAGAGGTCGCGCCGCTCAGTCCTACCGCCCTGTGGTACGAACCTGACAGTGTCATTCCCTCATCTGCCACCGGATCTTTGTCCTTTACACCTGCACCCACGTTGGATTACCGTTTTGGTCCTATCAGTCTCGATTGGATCGATCATCCCGCCAGTCATCCTGCATTTTCCCCGTTCTCCGAAGAAGCTGAACCCGAACCACAAAATTCAGATTCCGGTTGCTACAAGAGAGCTAAGGTTCCGCACAAAATGACTCAGACTAAGAAAACACCTTCATCCTCAATGAATCCTCAGCATACTTCACAACCCTCTACAAGCTCATTACCACCAGTTGAGCGGAAATCATCACCCGTGAACTTGAACTTGCCGACTGCTCAGTTTATTACTGAATCTCCCGAAAAGGCCAAATATCAACTTGGCTCAACGGAATTCGGTTACGGCTCCATCCATCTTTATCGCGACTTTGAAGAAGCTTCAGCTGCAAAGAAACCTAACGATGAATCATCAACAGTCTCATCGTATCAGAAGAATCCAGAAAAGAGTAGTTCTCGTAAAGACTCTCTTGGTAGTGATCATCTGAGTCAATGGAAACAATTAGATGATGAACATGGAATGATAGTCGGAGTTTTGGCAATTCCTTCGTACATGACATCGCAAGGTAAAATCATTTCCATCTCGATCAAAAAAAAAAAAAAAAAGAAAAAGAAAAAGAAAAAGAAAAGCCGGATTTGCCGATTTACTTTATTTTTCGTTCTTCAGATTTCCTTGCGTTCATATCGTCTGTTGTGGAGTCGATCGAAAGTGTGCGAATGCTCAGGTTAGGATCAATCATCATCACATCGTGTTTCCAGAATATTCTGATGCGATTTATTTACATTCTATTTCCTTTGATAAACAAATGTGTCTTACGTCTGCATAGAGATTCACTTCCGAACCGCTGCATTGGGTTGATCAAATTTCGGAGCAGCCAAGCAGCCAGGCACTTTGCGAGCGAGTTCAATGGCAGGCCTTTTTCGCATTTACAAGTAAGTATTTGCCGTCTGCCAAAGATATGATTGATATCTCACGGCTTTATTTTTGGACAATTAAATCTAGGACCGCGAGATTTGCCATACGGCATTCATACGATCCGTTCGGTTCAAGTCCTCCTTAATACCTCCATTCACATTTCCTGCACTACTTCCTCCAGACCTCTTAACACATTCCGCTCATGAACTACCAACTTGTCCAGTTTGTCTGGAAAGAATGGATGTTTCAGTGTAAGTCAATCAATCAGACACAACTTCTCTAGATCAATTAGCCAAAATATTGAAAGACGGGAAGTTGTGGTTCATACAGAACAGGCTTGATGACGAAGACCTGTTCGCACACTTTTCACTGCCACTGTCTGTCGAATTGGGGCGACTCGAGGTGTCCCATTTGTCGCTACTCCGAATCCAAGCTCAATAAATCTTCCACTCCTGACCAATCCGAATGTGCTGCCTGCGGAAGCCAAGCAAACCTTTGGATTTGCTTGATCTGTGGTCACGTTGGATGCGGAAGGTACCAAGGTGGACATGCCTATCGTCATTTTGAAGAAAGTGCTCATCTATATGCCCTTGAACTTGGCTCCCAACGGGTATGGGATTATGTCGGTGATAAGTAAGTGGATATGATAATACATAATAAACACGTTCAGCTTGATCTTCGAAGCCTCTAAAAGTACTCCGCCCTCTTTTCTGCTCACAGTTATGTTCATCGGTTGATTCAAACGAGGAGCGATCAGATTGTTGAGTTACCGGCTCTATCTTCTGCGGTCTTCGATAGCGGGGGAGGTCCTGGAAGAAATGAAGTAGCATACCAATCTAAGATTGAGGCGATATCGGAAGAGTTTGGCCATTTAGTTGCCTCTCAACTAGATTCTCAGCGGGCATTTTACGAGGAGGAGATGGAAATCCTGAGAAGTCGTCTTCAATCTACTCAACAGGAAACTGAAGAGCAGAAGGCGATAGTTAAGAAGCTTCAAGCCCAGTTAGAAACCATGGAGGAATCAAACCAATCCTTAGAAAAGATCAGCAAAAAAGAGAAATCGACCATGGCCAAAAAGGCCGGTAAGACTGCACAACTCAGCCAGAAACTAGAAAATGAATTGAAGGAAGAACAGATCATGTCGGCTGGGATGCGGGCACAGATCAAGAAGCTTGAAGAAGAAAAGAACGAAGAGAAAAAGAAGACGGAAGAGTTGAGCAAAGAGATCATCGATATTAAGGAACAACTTCGAGACAGTCAGTGTGGCTCACTCCTTCCTTTCATGACCGTGCCCGTTGTTTTAAAGTACTCATCAGCTCACATTTTGTTCCTCTCAGTGATGTTTTTTATCGACATGCAGTCCAAGATTCAGAATAATGATGGCGGTACTTCTGAGCTCCAAGGTGGCTCCATCGTCATTGGAAAGCCTGCTTCTTCCACGCCCAAATCAAAAGGTAAAAAGGGATGAGATTCCTTTGCTCCCTTTTCTTCGTCTATATCAATATCCGTCTTATGTAGTAGCTTTCTGTCTCAGTATTGTTATGAAAAGGGGGTTTTGTGCCAGTTCAACAAAGTACGATATCCATCCCTTCGCTTGTGGATTATTCAAAAGTTGTATTTGTTATGTAGTCGATTGGTTTAACTCGGGTGATTGTAAATGTAAAGAATTCAGAGAATGCAGTGCCACATTGCCTGCACGAAATATTTACATGTGGTCCCACTAGCCTTGGACAAATTGTCTCCAAGGAGTCGCGCGGCCTGGTGCAGGTGGGGTAAATACAGTCAGTTCGATCAGGGTGAACAGAGGGAAGCATACCATGCAAATTCTTTCTGGAATTTCATGTGCAAACCGTGAGAAAATTGGATTCCTTTTTTGAATAAGTACATAGCAAATAAGTTTTTATAGATCTACTTAGCAAAAATAAGACCTCCAGTGGAAGACCCAAATATTCTCTCTCTTGGGTTTTCACCATTTTGGTTTGGTTAAAATGAAAGTAGCCTCTGTCATATTTGGTATCTAAATACCAAAGGAAAAAAAGGAATTGATGGCTTTTGCCATTTGGGGTTGTCAAAGTCTTTCTTCCAAGGCTTGATTACATAAGCCCTAAAAAAAAAAAAACTTACATATTGGATTATTTGACCATCACTTATCATGCTTTATGGTGAAATTGACAGCCCTATTTTTAAACAAACCAAAGACAGGATACCATTTATTAAAAAAAACCAAAAGAATCATAGCTCTTCCAAACAGATCAAGAAATTGACAATCTATCTAAAAAAACCAAGACATCATGTGACTGAAGATAAGATGAGAGCAATGCATGATAAGAGCAAAGATATGATAAGAGCAGAGGTATGATAAATGTGTTGTAGATGAAATGGGAGGCAATCTCTATGTAGATTTCTTGTGGAAGCAAGAGTGTGGAAAAATGAAATCTTATGGAATAAATTTAAGGAAATTAATGTCTCCATTCCCTAATACAGAGTACAGTTACATAACCTCCTGGTACTCTCTGTCTGACATTCGATGGGATTACCTGCTTCAAACGGAGATTTCTTGACCTAGTCTCCAATATGTATTGTAATCTTTTACTACCATGGTTAGTGATTTCCACCTCATGATCTCCTCTGCCAGAGATAGTTAAACCCCATTTACTCAAATTAAGAGGTTCCATGGTTGTGGCATCAAAGTGTATATGGTGAAAAGAGTCCATCTCCTGTTGGCTGAACATCTGCAACTGATGAGGTTCAACCCAGTCCATTTAATTCACGGTCCACTCTTGATATAATGTCCCCATAGTCCCATGAGCCATTAAATAGAACAGTGTAGCTATGGCTAACATGCCAGGTAAATTCATTTTTCCTATTTGCGTACTGCTTGTAGTGAAATCACAGGGAAAGATCATGATGATGTAAGTTTTACAGTCAATTCAGCTTTGGAATTTCTTTTAGAATCATGCATGGGAACTGGGACCAAGCATGAAGAAGTGACTGAAAAATGATGTAGAGGCTTACAATAATAAATAGCTGAGTGGCCAAATTATAATAATTTATGTTAAGCTTGAATCCCAAACCAGTTTAAGCGATGAATTTGCTTCTGGTATGATTAAAAAGGAAAAGGCAATGCATCAAAATCAGAGTCAAACACCAAGGCTGTCATCAGAGCTGTATATTAGACTTACATACTTTAGTGTGGTTGGACTATGCAATGTGACAGAATTTGTGGGGGACGGGGGAATACACAAAACCAATATTTTGTGCTGGAATTATCAAAGAGTGATGTTGGTTTTTTTGGCAGGCTTGTAAAATGAGCAATCCAACAAGTTTCTGAATATTCTTTATTTTAAAATGGAATATGTTGAGCACATAAAAATGAAGATTAGTCCACAGCTTACTAGACACCACAGAAAAAAAAATTGAATCACAACTGACTGTTATCAGTCAAAAAGAGGTATCCTAGCCTGTGCTGTAATAGTATTTGCTGGACTGTGGAGAAAGAGGTAGGTCCAAAATCCTTGAAATGATCCAGTGGGAAAATGAAAAACCACTCTGATTTTTCACCACAAAGCTTGACAATATTTAAGCTCAATAGATGAAGCCTGTGACTTGTTGAAAACTGATCCCTCACGTTCAGCCTGAGTTTCAGGTGCAGTCTGCACCACCCACTTTCCTTGTGCCTTTTTAGATGTCTCAACCACATAGAATTTGAGTTTCTTACAAGTTATGTAGCAATATATGGCTCTTACATTTTAGCAGGACCAATATTGCAGAGCACAGTATGAATCATTATTATGTGTTGATGCACATCCCAAGATGACACATTAGAAAAATCAATCATGCAAATAAGACCAAACATTTGCTCATTCAAACAGAAGCATCTTTTCCTGTTGTCCATCTGATGGGAGTGAGCACAAGGACAGCAATTCCTTTGCTGATGTGGCCCTGTGATTCCAGGCCACAGTGTTCCCAATTTT